ATTAGATTTTACCATAAAAATAGAAGGAAAAATAAAAATTTTAACAAAAATATAAGATTACATAACTTCCTGGATCACATTAATTTGATGAAGGACATTAAACATTAAATAGCATGTTATATACATTGCAAAAACAGTAATTTAAAAAAAAAACCAATTTTTCGGAAAAAAACGGGAATTTTTTCGGTTTATTTCCAGCAACTTGAAAAAAGCGGTTTTTTTAAAACTATAATTTTTTAAAATTATATGATTTTATTAATATAATATAATTAATATAATGATATATTACGTAATTAATGTATTACGTAAAAAATTATTGAAATTATCAGCTTATCTAGGAAAATATTTGTCAACTAGTAATAAGTGGAGTAAAGCTACTATCACATGTAACATATAACATTTGCATTCTGATAAATTATAAATTTAAATGTAACGTGTAGATATTACAATGATTATTACGGATCTTTATACTTAATTGATGTAATTGAATATTCTCTTTAGATAAACTGATAATTGTATATATATAATAGTTAGTTTCTTACTTAGTTTCTTTCTTCATATTAATATTGCATAAGCATATGTTAGTTATTGTACATATTTATCATCTTTAAATCTCTAACTTTTACTCACACATATTTTAATTATTAATTGTTAAAAATGTAACATTTTGGAATTTAATTTTATATTTAAGAAAAATGTAAAAAATATGGTACATCAGAATGTTTATATACAAGAAGAAGAATAATTAAAATATATTTTGTGCGTATTGCGTCGTCAAATCAATGTTATACTTGTTTTATCAAGTAAGAATACTTGCATAATTATTATGTATTATTAAACACGTTAAGCATGTTACGTAAGCACTGCCTCTGCGATAATATTTATTTACGATGTAAAATAAGTACTTGCAACGAACAAGCCATTTAAGAATGAAAAAAATGAACAATGAAGCAAGAATAATCTTTATTCTCATGTGTCTTGAATGACTTAGCAATACTTAAAACTTTAACGCTAGAATTTGAATAATTACTGATTAAGATAGTAAATGGCATATTACATTTATTTACTGAAAGAATTTGCATTTTCAGTTAAAACCATAATTTGCATTTTAATTTAAAGAGATCTTAAATAGGGATTTGCGTTTTCATCATATTTTTTAAGATATTTATATACGATTTGGAAGTTAAATTGTAATATCTTAAAGGATATAAATTCAATTTCATGGCTTTTCGGTTGTGAGTCTCTGGTTCTTCGAAATTCCAAAGAGACCGGTCTCAAGAATACATCTTATCGCTCACGCCCCGGGTTTTCGCTAGGATCTTTCATGTAAATACTTAAGACGAGAGGTTCTTCTCTCCATGAAAGTGATATAGAAGCTTCACAAGACCTTTCTCGATAACGGCATAATACTAGCGGTCACGAAGTAAGAGGCAATCGAGAAGTTGGCCAAATAGAATCGCTTGATATGAGATTTATTTTCCTTCTATATATATTGATTACGGATATTATAATGCTATTTCTAGCGACAGTAATTCGTGATTTATTTAAAGGACGGATTTTTATCCTTGTCAACGTAAAAATCACAATTTTGGAGAAATATGAAATTTAAAATATAATTGTTTATGAATGAGTAATTTAATTAATTTACGCGTCACGCATTAGATTGTTTAAAACGATTCCTTTAAATTGCCCAGAAATGTCTTTCTTTTTATGTCACGGCACACGTTATTATACGGAGAGAATTTTCTTTTTAATAAAATTTACCTTGAAAATATGGTATAGTTGTGGTACAATACCATATTTTAAAGATTTTTACCGTGCACTTCAGTAAAATTGATCAAATTTATTTTATACTTTATTGTAATTTTATTAAAATGAATAAAACAGATTTACATTAAAATTCTTCGAAATACAACGTTGTATTTTCACAACTGTCATATTTTCAAGGTAAATTCTAAGAAAAAATTCTCTCCGTGTAGAAAATTTACTTTCGATCTTACACTGTAAAAAGTGCAGTGTTTAAAATGTTTACGTTTGAAATATTTTTATAAAACAAACGTTTAATGATAAAAAATATTTCAATTTTAAACGTTTTAGTGTTTTAAATTTAAATTCACACAATGTTTTGTTTGTATTGAAAAAATTTAAAACTAAAATATTTTTAAATCAAGAATAAAACATTCTAATATTTTAAAATTAAACACTTTGGAGTGCATTTGAAGAAAATTATTTTTCAGTTTTGAGAATAAGCTCGGATGAAAAGAACGTTATAATGACAAGAATATTAAGTGTGTTAAAAGTAACTTCAAGTATAAAGTACTAGGATAAGAAGTCCCATTTTATTCCTTCGTTCTTTGCTATATATTCATTGTGGTACTATTCGAGATCCTTTTAGTACGTAACTCTTTTCGCATCGTCATGTACGTCCAATATGCACTTTAGATATCGGAAATTCCGTATGGTGCGCTACTCTCGCGTGACTGGCAAGTGCGCATCGTCAACAATACTCCGTGCATGAAATCTGAATGGTATCTATAGCGTATGATAGAGGATCGTAACACAAAACCCTCTTGTCTTGGTGTCTCTAGGGTGGATTATATACCGGATGCGTCTCCGTAATCGGCTTCCACGATACGCGTCTGTCATCCGTTCGTCGGTAGCGCGCACGCGACGAGGGTCGATGAGGACCATCGTATAAACTTTTCGAAAGGTTTTGTCTTGCGGTGTACAAAACATTCGAGTGCCTCTCGTATCTTTGATCGAGAAGATGTGCTTGCTATTCATGACAACGGTTGCCCGTGTCGAATGGGCAACTTATACACTGTTAGATATCAAAGGAGCAGTGAGAACTCAATCCCAAAAGTAGCGTTTTGTTATTTTTAACTTCCATGTGCGTCAAAATATAAATCAATATATTTCTGTTGTTAATTTTAATATAAACAAAATTTATATTACGTATTTAGTTAGTAAATAAAAGGTAAGATTTTAGTCAAATTTAGTATCTATATTTTCTTAAATTAAAATGTTTAATTCCATTATTTTAGTTAAATTAATGACATATTGAGTAGTGACGACCTGTAGAAATGTTTAAAAATAATTCAAATTAGGTCTAATTCGACATTATAAATTAATAGTGTAATTTTATATCACTAAGAGAGGGTAGCGAGGAAATACAAATTAGTTATAATGAAATGCGAAAGATGCTAATTAAAATGTCATTTATTCTAAAGAATTGTACGATGAAGTTATTTTTAATTAAAACAATTTCATACAAAATTTAAATATTTTCTAAAAACACGATTTTGAGATTCTCTCTTTAACTTTTCATTACTTATATGGGGTCCATGACATCTCGACCTTATAAATTCGTTAAATATGAATTTATACACATTATATTTAGTACGAATTATTTTACAATTAAAAACTTTTTTGCATTTATCTTTATTTAAGGGAAATATAAAATAGTATCAAGTTCGATTTCAATCATTAAAGGGAGCAATGAATATTGAAATATGATATTAGGCTGTTGGAAACATCTCGCGCGATTAATTACATTAAAAAAGCTACAAGCAATGTATAGGATTAATCACCTTATTTTATTATTTGTTAATGCAACATTTTTGTTTTTAATTTTGTAAATAATTTTTCTTAAAGAAGGGCTCTAAAGAGAAATAAATTTTGAAAGTGAAACACGCATTGCGCGTATCTTCGTGGGATCAGGATGCATTGTTACTGTTCACTTTAATATCTCAACGAAGCGTGGTCTAAATGAAAGGGATGTCCTGAATGCCTGCCGAATACGAAACAATGTCCGTTGAGAGTACAAAATGAGAGAGTCGTGTACATAATATAATAGTAATTTTGCTACGATTGTCTGTTATAAATTACATTTTATTACTAAACTTATATGGAAAACGCGAAAATTGCAAATCCCACGGGTGTCTCCGAGACAGAACTGTTTGCTCGACCGCCCATCAAATAATGAGCATCTTTTATTGCAATAAAAGTGACTTATATCATTTACCACGTCGTCACGTGTGAACTATACGTCAGTCCGTAAATTGATATAAGGACATGTATAACCGTGCGATATGAAAGCTCCTTTATTGCCCCATTCTCATCCCTATGGCGTTCATACGTCTTTCTTCATACCGCTCGTGCACAAGGATCATTTTGCTAGTATGGCGCCAGAACGAGAATATTCTCCTTAATACCTTCTTCTCCTTTAGCTATACTCAGCGCTTGGTCTATTATCGAATTTCCGTACGTATAATAACGAGCTCGCTATTCATAAAGAGATCCTGAAGAAGCGAATACAAAATATACATGAAGGCATCACTTGTAACTCAGCTTTTGAGAAAGTTAATAATTATTATGTAACATATTTTATAAAGTGATTGCGTTGAAAAATTTCACTAGTTCACAAATTTTTAATAATTTTTAGTTCAAGGAAACGAAACAACTTTTTAAAATGTATTTTGTAATTTTGACTTCGAATTCTGCCACCAGAAATCATATCGAATTTTTGATGTAGTTAATTTTAAGCTATAACATTTCTTTTCGAATAATTTAGATATGACAAATACTGAACAAAACGAATTTGCTAAATTTTAAATAGTTCAGAATCATAAACAAGAATATTGGAACGAAAATACGCTAGGCGACTACTTCTGGACTTTAATACGTGAAACTGATCCAAAGTCATATAACGAAACAAAAATTAAATGTTCAACTTCTGATTTAATTTCCTATTTTAATAAAAACTTCCCTCTATATATTTATTGACATTTTTTGCAATTTTCTTGTATTTCAAAAATTGACTGGAAAATATTTCAATGGCAGATTCGGACTCAGCGTCGAAAAAATTATCTTAGGCACAGTCTTTATATGTTTTTCCACAAAACCCTATTTGCGAAAACTAATGTTATCGGTGTTATTGCTATAATAGCAAATAAGTAATGGAAAAACGGATAATTCAAATTCTTTTATTTCTTTTACAGATGTCACCGTCCAAGAGATAGTCTTTTTTCGTGGAGCTCCGGCTTCGATAACTTCACGGGATTCGTCAATTGGGGCTTCTTACTACTAGGTATTGGTGGTATCAGATTACTGCTTGAAAATTTCATAAAGTGAGTATCTCGAATTGTAATAATACTTTTTTCGTATCTAATGAACGTGGTAGATTTTATTGGGGTCACATATATATCCCCGATGATGGATTTGTCAATAATAAACGCTCGAGTGGTGTATCATATAGTACACAATAATGCCGACTATTCAATCAACGGAAATGATATATATTAATTGTTTTTATTAGCACAATGAAAATAAAATATATTATCTGACCTAATAATCAATTTCCTTCATACTTACAAAATTGTATAAAATATAAATTATGATGAATTAAAAAATTAACTTGTCATTAATAAGACGTCACAAAAAACATTCTGTATTCTATTATTATTTCTATTAGGGATATTTTTTAATTTCTCAAGAAGGTCAGTGAGTTTTCGATTATTCGTATTTAAAATGGATGAAAAATCTTCGAATGAGGAGCTAAATGTTGGATTGATTGAATTATTGAATTCGCTGATCATAATAATGTAAGAAAAAATTTTATATTAAGGGATATAAATAAAATAATGATCGTTCACTTATCTATTCTACCTAGATATTAAACCTGAACATGAATTTAATTCACACTCTTATTTTTTTTATTGCAAAATTAGTTTTTCTTAAATATTTATTGCACTATTCCTCACAGAAACGTATAAATAATATATAAATGTACAAATGTGTTTATAATGTTTTAAATTTTAATCTGTGGGTGGTTAAATGATCATGTGGTCATCACCCTCAATCAGTCACCCTCGAGGGAGTGAAAAAAAGAAAGTTCTAACAAGCAATAGTACCATCAAGAAGTTTTTATTGCGTTACCAGAATTAGAAGAGGGAGTTTTTGCATGGGGTGACAGCTAATGGAGATAGGGAACTAAAGGCCTATCAGAAGTGTCTTTATTGGTTTGATAGATGCACTACCGTAATAATTTCTAGGATACGGCAAAAAAAAAATCGATTGCCAGTAGGCAAGCAAAATTGAGTTTGTAGCTGTAACTATAACGGTATAATTATTCTCTAATCTTCGGGAGTGATTACAGATCGTGTAAGTGCATGTTATTTGTTTGGCAAACGTTATTAGAACATGACAGGTTGTCAACCGGTAAGGTTGCATGATCTGATTTTGATGCGCTCGTATTTCATCGCAAACACGCTATGGATGGAAACAAATTTGATACCTTTAGAAACTGGGCAATGCCATTGTTGCGGTAGTACATGTATGAGTATGTCATTCGATCTCTGATTCAGTGAGGTTCGTAATGAGAAAAATGAAAAACAAGGAATGATACACACAACAAAAGATCGAAATGTTATTTGTCCAATATATGTATACAGACTGCTAAACTTTTGACGAGATTCGAAGTTGTATATTTTTAGTTTAAGATGTATAATATTTGCGAGATAAATTAAAGCGAGCCATAGCATTGTCGCGAAGAGAGAGATGTTTAAATGAGATATAAATTCTATTATATATCGAGCGAGATAATTTATGCTTATTATTTCGATAATAATTTATTTAATTTATTTCAACGCTTGTTGAAATTTATGTACTTTTTAATGCAAATTATTTGATTGACTTATCAACATTGTATAAACGGTTACTTTTACGATACGCTGCTAGTAAGAGAAAGAAAGGAGAGTACGAATAATAGCAAATTAATTTAAGGATGGTAGAATGAAGTGGAACTGACCGCGCGCGCGTTCCTTGCCCTTTTCAATTGAATTAGCTTGTAGCGATGGCCACGAACCAGTACTTATGAATTCAATGTTCAAATAATTTAAGCTTAAATATTTTTTATACTTTATTTGTAAAGCTGCATCTTGATGTAAAATATCAATAATAAGTTAGGTTGAACCAAGATCGCACTATCAGAACTAATCATTTTCTTACGTGCATTGGTATACTGTTGCTGGATGCGCGACGCTCTCTCCTTGCAGGATATTGTGTTCAGAGGAGTAAGTTAGCTATCTTCTTCTTCCAAGGGCAAGAGAGAAGCGTAAGCGTTGTCCATGAATAATTTCAACGAGATTTTTATCGCTGTTGTAAACTCTTGGCCTCGCGTCCGGCCGCTCCCGAGGGCGCGTAACAGAAATTTATCACGCTCGTTAAGCGTAGAAAAACTTTCGAGCGAACTTTTGCGACGTAATTGCTCGAGGTAGCCCCGACACGCGCTTCATACGAGCCCGAAACAAGCGTAGCTACTAACGGCCGTAAGCGATTATGCCCGAGTCCAAAGGATTTTAGCATTCGATTGATACCTTTAATTTGCTACACTGAAAAAATTTATTAAATCTTAATAATATTTCTTTGAATAGTGGTAAGTGAACATTTACTTACAGTAAAGAAATATTTACTCAATGAAATAAATTATAGTTAAATCAAATTAATAGTTTTTGTATCAAAATAAATATGTTTATATTTAGTAAATATTTACTTATTGTTAGAACTATTGAAACAAATATTTATTAAAATTTAATATTGTTTTTCAATGCAGCTTAGATAATCCAGTTTCACAGTGAGTAATACTTAAAAATTATATTTGTACAATGGATAAATATATATATTTTTGAGCAGTTAGCTTAATAAAATGTTTTGATGAATTGAATAATTAATAAGAATCTCGCATCAATCTTTATCTTGACGTGGAGAATAAATGTTTGGATTCGTAATCTAGATAGGTATCTTTAGAGCTATATATGTATATCTAACAGAGTAGCGATACATTTCCAATTAATACGTATGTCGCGTTTCAACGCTCTTTGTATGATGCAACGTTCAATCGGCCAGATAATTTCGGGTATAATCGCATCACCGCTTAATTAACTTATCGGCACTTCCGAATGAACACTTCGAAGAAATCGTAACCATTTAATGCAGTCTGCGTTCTCGACTGATTCGTTTCAGCCGGTAAAAAGACTTTTCCAGACTTGATTCGCGAAGAACAAGAGCAAGCGACAGCCGAATCGCGAGGATGAGACTGTCGACATGATTTTGCTGGGATCGAGATTAATCGATGGGATGAGGGTGGGAAAGGGAAAAGAGTAGATTGGCGACTGAAAAAAAGCACGTCGGTAAGAAAACGGGTAGATGCTTCTCTGCGAAGTGAAAAAAGGCAGCGAGAGAGCTCAATTAATCGAACTCTCGACGAAAGACTCCCTCGCTATCGATAAAAGTCCGCGGAGGTGGGTAAAGGAAGTTACTGAAGTTTCTGATGCCTTGTCTTTCGTATCCATTGTGTGGATTATTCGTAAAACTTTTTTAGAAATTTTCCATGCAATTATAATTTATGCAATTTGAGATACGAATGTGCGTTTATTTCAAGGCACGATTTCGTCGATCTCGAATTATCTTCTACACATTTTCACAACTTAGTTCTTAATATAAGACTGTGCAGGAATTATTAAATCTCTTTCTTGGAAAATTATTATACTTCTTGCGGTTATAAATGGAACGACAAATAAGAAGAGATGGATAAGACAAACAAGTAAAGTAGGACAATTAATTTGTTTTCTTGATCTTCGAAGCTCTGCTGAAATTTCTAGGAATTATAAATATTTTTAGATTCAATTTATATAATGGAAAGATACATGAATTTGTGTGTCTGTATTTTTTTTCGCGTAATCAAATTTTCTCGAAGCACTAAAAATAAAGACTAATATTATTGAACTCTAGTCGTAAAACATAACATATTAAAAATCGATCTGTGGTTTTCTAGATATTGACATTATCTCAGCAATAATTATATTGTCTTGCTTTATCAGTCATTTTTACAAAAACTCTTGCATTGTATCAGAATATAGAACTTGTTGATTGTTTTTATCTGGATTACAGAGTTCTGTAGGTATTTATTATAAGAAAAAATTAACGTTACTGGAAATTCGATAGTTCTCAATATCGAATATTTTGTTTCGTATATTGGATGCATGATATTTTTTTTAGATAAATCAATATTGAGAAGAAAATAGCGAGGAGTAAAATGATGAGATAAATTGATTTGTAAGAAAAGAATAGAGATCCTATGTATAAGTAATAATGGATTTATTAAACGTATGATATACGAAATCATTAATAATGTCATATTTTAAATAAATTGTTATTTACAGCTTTAGAAAAGATCGTTAATAATAGCATTTTATCCGGATAAATATTTAAATAAATTTTAACCTGCGCTCCCTTCACTTTCTCCTTGAGAACAATTCATCTCTTCTCACCGAGCCAATCCGACACTTAAAACGAGCCTTCAGGCCATACCATAAATTTCAGAGAAGAAGACTCATCTTCGGCGTTCTTTACAATCATAGAAGTGAGGAAGACGTCTCGTTTCGCGCGTATTAATATTTAATGCGAATCGTTCGCGCGCTCACATTTTCATTCGGGCCTGTCCCATATTGGCACCATAATTCTTGCTCCAATCTGGACCTCCGTGCGCTCTCGTACCCACCGAGAGTCACCCTCCCCCAGAACCCGACGTTTCCCTCTCACCACGTTCGACGTGAAATTGGGGATTTTATCGTGACGCTGTATTAACGAACTCCGGCGGACGAAGAACGAGCGTGGATTTAACGGGCGGATCAAGACGGCTATTCCCGCCGGGGAAGAAATTTAATATCGTTTCTGCTCACGTCTCGAAGCGATGAGTTTCGATAAGTGCGATATCCCCTTAACTTTCGACTACTCGAAAAATGTTTTATGAGACTCATCCACCATGTGTATACACGTATCGAGGCCGGATCGGTTTAATCATCAGCATTGAACGATTGTTTCCTTTTTCACTGATGAATCTTTCCGTTTTGCTGAAGTGAATATTTTATGAGTACGAATGAATTATCGCCGGGCAGTCTTTTCTTTTTGACGTTGGCTCTTTTTTTATTTGCCACGTTAATGGAATGTAAAAAAACTCCAAAGTTTTGTCTTTTGAAATATTTGGACACAGTGTTGCATCGATCTCCTATTAAATATTGGACTTTGATAAACTAATTTGATGTAAAATAAAATTATTGATTGAGATTGATTTTTTTATAATTAATTAATTTTTTCCGCATATTATGTTACGGCCATATACAAAGCGGTAAACTTTGATTAACTTAAACGTTGCTATATCAAAATTGGAATTTGCATTATTTGTATTGTATGTTGCATTATTTATGTGCGTATCGACATATGTGAAGATATTTTCACAAATTATTACCGATCGGCTGTCACACGATGCGTTGCATCAATTAATTATGAACGAGATTCGCATTTTTTCCATGCTACTGTTCAATTATCGTAACTGCGTTAACATGACCGATAGTTTCCGCAGAGAACTACATCGGTGATTGCGTCCCAATAAATATTGTCTATCTAAAACAAATCGCGTCGACTTCGAATACTTTAATTACTCGACCTATAAGCCTCGTTTATTATCGTTAACAGGCATGTACGACCTGAAGCCATTAGTGTACAGTCCCACCTTTTTTTTCGGCTGGTACACCTATATCGCGCGTTGCCCGAGAAAATAATGTTTTCGATGGCTTAGATCGATACCCATCGTAAATTGCATTTTCAGACTAATATACTGATAAGACACGTTGAATATATTCTTATGAACACAACAGTGATAACAGCCGTCGAATACATTTGTCTGTTTCAAAATAAATGAGAAGGTTATTTTCATCCGTTGCACGTTACAAATTATCATACATTACACAAATTGTCTTCACTCACTATAATTTTGACTTTATCACATTGGTATTTATAAACAAAGCGTATTAAATTTATGCAAATTGTATTTGAATATTCCGTACAGCTTTTGTAATCAATATAGCTTTTTATTGTTCGTATACGGACAAACATAACTTAATCGAATATCGTAGTTTAACATATATCCCATTTGTTTATTATGTTATCAGACATGTCCCATTTCTGCATAACTCCGTTTGATTTACGTGCAGAAATTAATGATTCGTGTGCGCGCAGAAAGTGCCATTTTACGAAATTGCCAATAAATAATCTGGCACGATTTAGTCGGCCGGCATCGTTTATAATATTTTCCGACGTGCGCCATCAAAATAAATCACAGATTCACATCAAGATCGCAGTCAATCATGGGACAGACGTTTTCTGCATTTCCATTGAGTCGACTTTCCAGGGAAATCGTTTTATTTCCTAGCATGAGCTTCCCTCCCTTTACGCGGTGCGATGCGACAGTTATTATTTATCTCAAGAACAAAGACCTGCTCCCTTTATTTTCTTTTGTTCCTTCCTCAACCATTTCAGAAGAAGAGATCTTACCAGAGACAGACTATAATAATGAAGCGTTTCTTCGGTTTGCATCACGCTTAGTACGCCAACCATGAAAAACTAAAGATTATAATTGAAAACGTGCCGCGTTTTATCTTTATTTATCCTTTGTTGCTCGATTTTATTTTCCTTTTAATGCAACAAGATAGCTGCATATCTCTTCAAATATAAATAAATTTATCGACGGTGATTTTATTTTGCATGCATTTAATTGTCTGTAATATATTTCTGTAATTTATTTCTTTCCACGTGTATACCATTTGTATTATTACAATTAACATTATATCGGTTTTGTTATTATATTATTTAACTGCAAATTATTGTAATTATTAACCCTCCGTCTGCAATGATATTTTTATTCCCTCTGTTTAGCTCAAGTTTTTTTTTACTGTTTTAAACTTAAAAAATATGGAAAAATTTATAGCTATTTTTCAATATTTTTAGACATTATATTATGTTTTTAGCAACATATTTATCAAAAAATTTTTTAGCAACATATTTTAGAAGGGGGAATCGGACTTCTTTATTTCAGAGAAATTTAAGAGTGAAATTTTGTTCAGAAAAAACCAGGGTTGCAGAGAGACAGAGAGTTAAATTATTATTACTTGTTAAGAATATCTATTGGAAATTATTTATATTTTAAATTAATTAAGAAAAAAAATATCCCATATTAATAATTAATGATACAATATGCCTCAAAATAATAATTATAATATACAACAATAATAAAAGTATTTTATTCTGTATTGCAGATATGGAATCAGAGTGGATCCCTGGCAATGGTTTCTTTTCCTTAGCGGCAAGAATGATGGCGGCGAAGAATATCCTTCGTTGTTGCTGATCTGCTGTAAGTAAAACTGCCGATATGTCATTTTATATTCGTTCAACAGATCAGAAAGGAAACAAAGCTGTCAATGTTCGTGGCCTCGATTACAAAATGATCGACATTTATTGTAAGACTTTCGTCTATGTCGACATAAAGGAAAGTATGTCAATTGGAAAAATATTGATAGCGCATCTTACGGTTTAATAGCGTGACTTGTGTCTTTCAAGACAGCTTTTTAAATTCTATCACTGATACAGAATATTTTAATAATGCTGAAAATTATTTCTACGATCGTAAAAATGTACTAAGCAAAACAAGATTGATTACCAAGTTACGAAGCAACGATAAAACTGTAGAAACAAAAAAATTATTTAAATTAAATATTACGAAAATTGTTAAATTGTATCGCAATATGCATAGAAATTCGTATTATCCCATACGATATCTATTCATTGAGTATTTAAAATGAAAAGCTGACTGGCTCGCAATAGCTTTTCGCTGTAAAAATCTATAAAATCGAACTCCATCGGTGAGAGAAGGAAGACTATGCCAGACTCTAAATTCCGCTTTTATTGTCGCGGGTCGTGGTCGGTTCACATTGATTCTCTAGTATCCGCGGTAATTCAATTTCACCATTTCCTGGTCATGTTTTTTTTATTTAATCTATACGTAATGTGAATATCCATCGATATTCCCGCTTTTAAGCTCAGCTATAATGACTCATATAACTTTACCGCTAAGGATAAAAGAAACGGGAACAATACAAAACGTCGAGAAAATAATGAATAATAGTTTGAGAATTCAAAGTCAAACTCTATCTTCTCTTGGCAGCTGACCATAGATAACGTTCAAGCAGAAATATAAAAGTTAATAAAAAAAAGAATAGGGAGAATGCGTTAAAATGGTTCGGAGCGAAATGAAGCGGAGTGCACGGGGTAACGTCGGTGGTGCTGATACGAGATAGGAGGTAAAATGAAGTCTGTTTCTATCTGGCAACTCGGCTCCTGTTTTAGTTATCTCGTTATGACTCGCGTATTGCAAAATTACAAAAAGGTGAAAACAATTTGGCGGGGTAATTCCCCATCTCCCCAGGATTCATCGATTCTGAATGTTTCTCTAGGTGTTTATTTCAGTTGCTTATTTCAGAGAGTTGTTTTTGTAATGCAAAAGTACAATTTGCTTCTGTTATACATATAATGCTGGAAAAACTAATGGAGACGAATATTTTTCGTAATTTATTTTCTGATTGTAAGTTAGAACAAACATGAGTAAGATAGCCATCTTACCCAAGTTTACCCTGTATAATGTGCTTGCGGAAATTATTACCGTTTTGTTCAAAGATTCCAATATCTGCGTATGTTTTTTTTTATTTCATCAAATATTTTATACTATATAGCAATAGTAAGTTTATATTTAATTAAGTTAAACATAAATATACATATAAGAAAAATGTTCGAGAAGTTAATATTTTTGCTGACATTTAGATTTTACATTTCAGGTCACTAACAATATCGCACAACATTCATTGTGAGTAGAATTTCAGTATCATTCCCAGTAGAATTCAAGCTCGTTAGCTTTTGTGACGTAATGTTTCTAGTCTAGACTTTTTAAAGTGGGTCGAAATTCAACGAGTCTCGCATGAAGCATAAATTTTAAGGCACGCAAGGCATCGTTCCTTTAAATAGCGAACATATTCCTCGCGTATTGTCCCCTTAGTGCTCGCTTGTTGCGTTTTCATCCGAGGTTGCAACGCCATAACTTACATACGTGCAACAGCCGCGTACGTGTGCGGTTTTAAATGCGGATTGCACGCACAATGGTTGCAAATCAGCAGCTACAACAGGAAGAAAAATCATGAAAAGTTCTGAAATATTAATAATGCGAGGTAAAAAAAAGTTATAATAACGTAGGTGTCTTTCTTTTTGGCGAACTAACATTTTTTTAAATTCATTAAAGAGTTATTTATCTTATTTATTATAATACATCCACAAGTTATTTATTTCGTTAAAGAGTTATTTTACTATCAAATAATTTTTCATCGTGATATTATTATAGTATTAAAAATATAATATTTTCCATATTCTCATATCATTTTACACAAAAAAGTAATGAATAATGTTTATAAAAATAGTATTATTTTTCCTTTGATCCCTTTGGCGTTAAAATCGATTCTTTTTGGAGGAATTACTCTTTTAGTCTTGAAGTTGTTCTAAAAGAGATTCTTGTATAATTTCCATATAGTTATAGTTTTCCTAACAGTCTCAATCCCCAGTGCAGATTGAACGCGGGCGGCTTACGTCGACTAAGCCGCTATGGAGGGTTGCATCATTTACACATAAGGGAGCGTAATGCTCATGGGAAACTACGGCTAATAGTTCCCATATTTTAGAATCTGCGTCGAGCGCCGTCGCTCCTACCAACGGTAAATTCGTTTCCTTTTTATATAACCAACCCGACCTTTTTGTTTCTGTCTGCCCTCCACGGAGGGCCGGATAGAATATGTTTCGTTACCCCTATTTTGTGCGACCCTTCTCATAATAATTTTCACAGAGCGAGCTAGTCTAAATTACCTTTTAAAAATACAAGGTTTCTCGCAACGGCCGTTTAGTTATTAAAATATTAATTATTTTCCTGTATTAGATATTCGTCCAGCTTGATCCATTATATAGAAAAGGAATAAATTTTTTCATTCGTATCTGTTCTATGGATCTATCTCCCTTTACTTCGGCATTATTAAAACTTTAGTCGCGTTATTTATAACGGAAACGACATAAATAACTGTTTGAGCGGATTCCGATAAATGGCTACAAAAAATGTCAGATTCGAGAACAATATGCTCAATTAAAATTTTGTTGCGGATATTTTTCGACAATTAATGCAGAAACATTGGACTAATAAAGCTGTGTAGTTTGTTATAAACATGAAGAGTATTTATAAGCTTTATTTTCTGTAGTTAAACAAGTGGTTGGAAACTGTTAGAACTTAAAGTGAGGTAGATATATGTTTGATATTTGGAGAAAGCGAGAAAGAGAATTCTAGTTTAGTGTAGGAATAAAAAACCCGTAGTTTTTCATTTACGTGTCCCTTTACCAGATGCAGTATTTCATTTGTTCGATCAATATTTTGTGATTATTATTATATTAATATCTTTTAACACATTTAATATGTATTTAATATGTATTTATTAAGGTAAAAACGAAAGCGAATATAAAATCATTATTTATTGCCGGAATTATTAATCCATTTATCTCTTTCGCATTCCGTTTTTTAGTAAAAACAGATTTATGAGTTGATTTGATTATAACTGGATCTTATTGAAAATATTAAAATAAACTTCTTTAGTGATCATTTATGCAGATTTGCTCCAATTTCGAACAGTTATAGATGACGGATGCAGGTCATATATTTTGAAATAAGAATGCTTTGATTTAACGATGACAGGATCGAAAATAAAGACTGAGAAAGATCTGGATAAATATACCGTTTCACTTTTTTTGCTCTTCGGGTTTTCGCTCCCAGGGTTTCCAGGGTAAGGAAATGGACCTTGCCGGGGAACCGTGTATGCGGCTGTCCGTTCGGTGGTTTTCCGGAAGTTCCGGGACGGGAAGTTCTAGGGTAACTTAAAGTTAACTATAACTCAATGCTCGTAGCCCTTACGCTGTATAACGAGTCCGGGACTAAATGTGAAAGGGTACGCCGACCGGCGACCACCGACCATCTAGCCAACCGCCATGATAGCTCACTGGGTTTGTTCTCATAACGTCTGCAACACTGTCGGCGCCTAGCCGCAGTGTATCTTGCTCTCTGTTCGCCGAGTGTTAAGACCGAATCCGGCGAGATTTGCATGCCGTGCCTGTGAATTTCGCACGCCGAGCGAACAACCACGCTGAGGTAAAGCAATTAACGATGTCCACCATAGCTGTCAATCCCCCTGTGCCGCACGTTGTAATGGCATTTCGCGAAAGAATCTACTACCGAAATACCTACGTATAATGGTCTCGTCGCTTCAGATTACGGTTACAATTAGATATAATATTTTTCATGCGTAAACCGCGTTAAATTGTTAGAGAATATATATTATTCAGAAACTCTGCTACATTTACAAAATGAATATTTTGGCGATTCTTTTCTTCTTCTTTTTAGCTTCCCCTTTTAGTTTTCTCTCGGAATAATTGGTTGACATGTCGTTTTACGCAGACGGTTTTAAGCGAGTTTTGCATTCAGCTTAATATTCGAAACAATTATCACTTTTCCCTCATCTCTTATCCAAACCGCTATCAAAATTACGCAAGCGTCGCGAATAAAATTTCACGAGAGGTGAAATTTTAAAAGGACCGACGCGATTGCGAACCAGGCGTTGGAATGAGAGAATTGGCGCGATAGAGATCGCTTTCGCGTTAATTTCAAAAGGCGAGTTTCCGGGCCAAGTTTTCACGTTGTTGGGTGTGATGTTGTACGTTTCGCCGTTCGCGCTGGTCATTAAAGCGCAGAATGGGAAACGGAGCAACGGGTCGTCGTATGAATTACTTAATCCGCGCACGAGCAGCACGGCGTGCAAGTAATCGAATCAAATGTGAGATTGCCCTCACGAAATCCCTCCGCACGCATTCCCTATCTGTGCATCTCTCTCGTTTATTGCCTATGCGCTCGGCCCAGCTAAACGTAGACTTATTACAAGTGCGCATCGACCGAACTATTATGGACCTTCTTCTATCTCTCCACCCGTGCGTTTCTGATTACAGGTCTGGCGGTTTGGCGTACCATTTTCTTTCCGCATGATTTTCTTTTTCTCGTTACAAAAATCAGCATAGGAAGAAGCATCGATATATATAGAATGTAATGTATACTATCAATGCATGCACAAAATATTTCCCTGGAAATTATTTGTGGCTGAAAATTACGATTTTGCATATGTTATAAAGAAAAAATATGTACACACGGAGAGAACGGTTTTGCTGAAGTATCCAAGAATTTAACTAGATACAGATCTGAAAATAATTTTGTTGGACCATCCAAATTTT